TTGCTCTCGCTCAACTCGGACCCCGGAATTCCTACTCACATCAATTTAAGCTTAGCTCAAGGGCTAACGAAGGCCTCAAGGAATATTACATTGGTCGGTTAGAAACCCAAAGGCCGTCATGACCCAAACCAGAACTCGAACCGGTCATTTAAATTATGAGATCGAATTTTCAACAAATATGAACAAGATTCAACACAAGCCAAAGATGAGACAAAAATAAAATCCCTTTTGTATTTCCAAAAGATAGTTACAAAATATATTTACAATGCCCACGAAGGGTCCTTACATAGGAACAAGGAAGCAAAAACAAAGCCAAGAACCTAATCTGCTTTTAGGGCCACATCCTCGAGAGCGGCACCTTCGGGAACCTCCTCCGAGACAACAATAGATGAAGAAAAGGCTATAGCCTATCAAGAAGCAAAAGCTTTTAACAAGCGGAGAAAATTGTGGTCTGGTGAAAAACTTGGCAAGTGTGGGTCTTGTCAGCACAACTATTCGAAAGCCACTCCTTGAGACGTTATACCGGTGTGGGATGCAAAAGTTAGTAGATGATAGTACCACCTCACTCCATGGAAAGCAGAAGGAATGAAGTGTCACACCAGGATTGAAGATAAGAGAGATAAGCGACAGGGAAAAGATCGCATATCTCCTGATACGGGAAGGGTTTTGCGCCCCTTTTTCGTTGCTTCGAATCGAAGCTTCGAAAAGAAAAGCCTTGGCGTAACTGCTAAAGTTGCTGCCATGTGACCAGGAGTTTGCAGGTTTAGAATCATGGAAGCAGATGGTTAGATGAAAAAATAGAGAGGGGAAAGAACTAGAGAAAAATGATGAATGAACACAATCTTTGTTCAAATCGGATAGCCTTGTATTTATAGATAGGCGGTGAAAGGCGGTGACGATTTTGGCGGCGCAAGTGGCCGACCAACACTGATACGCATTTGATGTCCTGGGGAAGAGCATTGACATGACATTTCCGGTCATTTCAAGCGCCCACGTCGCGTGTATGACATCATCCTAAAAGGCTCAGGAAAATCGAGGTCCCAATCGTTTCTTACGCTAAGAAACGCGGGGCCGAAACGGATGGAGGTCAAGAAAATAGGGGCCAAGTTATCATTCAACTCAGGCCCGAGGGTTGCGTCACTACAAGCTCGATCTAAGCTCGAGAATTACCTAAAACCTCAAGAGGCATCATGTTAGTCAGTTAAGAACCTAAGGGTTCATTGCGTTCTAAGTTCGAACCAACACTTAGGCTGATAATTTAGGTTGTACAAGCAAATTTTCTACAAATGAAGGAAAACGAAATTCGTCACAAACTAAGGTCGAGATAAAGATTCCTTTGTCCGGGGTCGCTCGATCGGAGGCAGCATCCACCGGAACTACATCTTCATTGGTTTGACTTTCGGCAGCCTGATCTTCGAGGGCCTATTTTTCCTCGGGAACATCATCTTCGTCCTCCCCACTCTCGGAGCCGCTAACAGAATCTTCATCAGTAGAAAGCAATGCAGCTGCCTCTTTTTCCAAAGCATTCACCTTCTCAATTTCTGCAGAAAGGTCAAAGCCTTTGGCATGCACTTCCTCGAGAGTTTGCTTTCAAGATTCCAGCCGAGCATGATTGACGGTGCAGGATAACTTAAGCTCAGCTGTAGTAGATATCTCCCTAACCCGAGCATTGGCAACTGCAACATCGGTTCGATATGAAGACACGAACGCATCGGCTTCGGACTTAACCTTAGACAACTCAGCGGCCGTCTTAGCATGAAGCTTCAAAAATTTATGACCCTCCTCTTTTGCACTCCGAAGCTGGCTCTCGGCCGAAGCCAGCTGTTCCCGAAGGTTGTGTTTTTCGGAGGCCAAGCGATCCATACTTTGCTTCCACCCGAGGGTTACGGCCTCTTTAGTCTTAAGCTCCTCCCGAAGTCGCTCTGCCAGGTCGGCCTTCTCTTGGAACTGCAAAGGTGGAACATTAGACGCCAAAACAAACAAGTACAAAATGCGCCCACAAAGGCTATATTACCTTTTCCACGAGTTCGGCCCGCTCTTGGGAAGCTTTTGCCGAACTTGCTCAAAGATCATTAAGTTCACCCTCTATTTCGGCATAGAGAGCCTTGAGTCCGTTCATCACTGACATAAGCTTCCTGAGCTCATCTTCACATCGGGCAAGCTCAGCTCGAGACTTGGAAAAAGCTCGATCGAAGAGCATCGCAGACTAAACACAAAGGAAGGAGGTCAGAAAAGCAGAAACCTAACTCTAAATGTAGCTATCTAGTCAAAGTTTACCTGCTTTCGAAGCTTTTCGGCCTCTTCGAGGATGAACGAGGCATCTAGGTCGAGACCCTCCTCGATCCTGGCAAGGCATTCGCCGAAAATGTTATTCTCCCCGTGGGATGTTCCCATATCAGGAGTCTTCATATCTTGGGCATCCCGTATTAGCCCCTCAGAAAACGATGGGCCTGGTGGAGAGTCGTCTACGTCAATCACCCCGAGCGGCTCAATCGGGGCCTTCTCCCGCCTTCGAAGAACCCCAGGGCTGGGTTCTCTGAGCTCATCGAACAAGTGCCCTTCAGGACGGGGCGCTTTCTTGCCACTAGTTGATTCGAGAACCTTGCTCGAGCTCCCCCGGGGAACTTCCTCAGCTTGAGGTTGAACCGCTTTGATGGCCTCCGGCTCAGCAGCCTTTGAAAGATCGGCGCCTCCTCCTCTCCGAGTTATTAACGGGCGAACATCTTCGCCCTCAGCCTCATCTCTCTCTTTGTCCTCAGCACGAAGACGTGCAACAGCTTCTGGAGTCAAGGCCACCGTATCGGCCCTAGGTTTTCGAAGCTTGGCCCTTTTAGGCTTCGTGGACTCCGCCGACGACCTTTTCCTTCTTCTTTTGTCCTTGGCAGGCTTCTGGGTCTCTCCCTCGCCAGGTGGGGGCGGCCTCATCGAAACAACATCTCCAAGGCCTGTACAAGCATAAAGTTAAGTGTATTGCTGATGAGTATTTCACTATGGGATTTATATGCAAATAATAAGGACTCAGCGTGGTTTTTGGCCTCCCATAGGCCTTTGGCCAAATCGCACCAGACGCGCTCGGCATATGTGGAAACGGAAGCTAGTTGCCGAACCCAGCCCGGGAGGTCCGCAACCGCACCTGGATACCAATCAACGGCTGCATCATCAAAAGGGAGTTAGTTCAAAGGAAAGGGAAAATGTCTAAGTAACGAAACATGCTCGATAGGTCTGTACTTACGCTTCGTATTCCATTCCTTGGGGAACGGCATCTTTTCAGTGGGAATTAGGTCGGAGGTCCTGACTTGAACGAAGCGGCTCATCCACCCTCGGTCTTTATCCTCATCAATGCTAGCGAAGAAAGACATTGGAGATCGACATTGCAATTTTATCAGACCACCTCGATAGAGACGAGGGCTGTATAGTCTGACCAGATGATCGAGGGTAAAAGACATCCCCTCGACTTTGCTCGAAAAGTACCTAATTAGGTGAACAATCCGCTAGAAGGAAGAATAAATTTGGCCAAGTGTCACTTGAAATTGTCAACAGAAAAAGAGGATCACTGGGTCTGGAAAGGGCAAAGAAGGATCTACAGGACCTAAGGTAAATGGGTATGTGTATACGCTTAGGTACCCCGCTTTGTGAGTAGTAATATCTTCATCAGGTGAAGGGATCTCCACGTGCACTTCATCTCCCCAACGGCAATCTGCTTTCACTTGTTCGAGTTCGGTTATTAAGCTAATATACCGAGACATGGGTTCACATCGTCCTGGGATCGAAGCAGGCTTGTCGACCTTGAAATCGGAAGACGTATCACAAAGCCCGAGGGTACATTCCTCAGTGCTAGGAGGTACCACCATTTTGCTCTTCGACGGGCGTGAAGACGAAGAGGCTTTCTCTTTTTGTGGAACTATCTTAGAAGTTTTTGCCATTTTTGTTGTGAAAATTTAGAAGAAGGAGAAGGAGCTAGTTAAGAAATGGGCACAAGGAAGGAACAAGTGCAAAGAAGATTTGATAATACGGTAAAAGTAAAAGTTTGAAGAATGAAGGATTGAAGTATTTATAGTGGATGTCTAAGCGTGTTGGAGAAGCTAAACAGACGACCAATAGCCGTCTTTCATTAAAGGCTTTTCGAAAACTGTGTAGGCGTAACTTTTGCATGACCTTTCAGTCACACAAACCGCTAACCTCACTAGACTGACATCATGATTGGGACATCGAAGGGGCGAGAATCAGATCGTTTCTTATCTTTCCATTCTAAGAAACGCGGGGACTATCTGTATACGGCCGAAATCGGAGAGCCCGATTTCAAGAACTTAACGATACCCTGGGCTCAAGCTCGGGCGGCACGAAGTAAAGACCAGATCTGACTGAAAAATGCATACCTTGAGGGAGCAAATCGGAGAACCGTCATGATCTACCTCGGGGGCAGTATAATTTCGATGATACTCAAGAAAGAGCGGGAAGTTCTCAAGGACACATGGATCAGGGCGTAAATTATAGGATAAGATTTGTGCGAAATAGTACGAGTCCGTACTAGGTTGTTATACAGCTGTACCAATAGAATTTCTTACCATAATTGGGAATGTACCATATTAGGGTTTTCTCCTTCTATATAAAGGGGACCACAATCTTTGTAAAGGACATCTCGCAATAGAATATTCTACTCTGCTTTTCTCGTTTACCGTGCTCCACAATTGTTCTTCAGCTTTATTGTTTTCACTTTATCGCTCATATTATATTTGTTCTTAACTCACCTCGAGGCCCCGAGATAATCGAGCTCGAGGTCCCCGTCGCTCTAACAACACTGGTTTGGTTCATCAATTCTTCTTACTTTAACCTAATATAACTTGTATATTTACTAGTATTAGAATGAATCACATATCTTTAAAACCACAAATCATCTTTAATTGTTACTCAAATTTTTCGAGGTAAATACATGTCTCTAGTTCTATATTGATTACCCTCTCCAGTAAAACCACTCGCGTAATAGCCTTACAAGATAAACATCAGCAACTAAAAGTTAAAAGGTAAATTCTTCAGTAACAAAATACATCCATGGATTAATGAAATTCAAATCAAACAGTTGCATTACGTTCACCATTCAGGGTACTATAATCTTAACCACTAAAATTAGAGAATCCTCGTGGAACTACTGAAGTTAATATGAACATGGACTATGCTTTAGCAGCTGGATCTTTATGCACAGCAGTGTTCACCTGTTTGGAAAGGTAAGCTTCATAGATTTCTACGACAAGCCTGGGATCTTTCTCCACAAGTTCTTTGTATTCTTCTCGCTTGCTCAGCTTGTCCATATTTTCCATGATCAATGACAGGGCTGCATCAAGCAAGTTCTTTGCATTGTGCTGGTGAGCAAAGGCATAGTTAGGAAGAGAGTTCTCCCAGTTTAATTTGGAAATCAGAAACTTCTCACAATACGTCTTCAGATGCTTCACTTGGTATTTTTCTGCCAGAACGAGAAGGTCACAAGCCATAAGCTCATCTAGGCAAGCATCGGCAGTGTATAAATAGGTCACAAAGGCACGAAGTGCATCATATGACACGTCACTAATTTTAATTGTGCCGCTAAGGCTTTCTTCCATCTCATTTTCAAGCATTGCTCTGAATACGGGGGAACGACTGGCCTGCGTGGAATATCCAAATTTTGAAAAAGTTAGGTGCAAAAACTATTTAAAAAAAACTATTTCAGTGAAAAATAATAGTTAAAACAGTAAGGAAATCATATAAAACAGATATAAAGAAAGAGGAGACTAAATTCGGTATGTTTTTCAGATGCTCAGAGCATATCTAAGCAGAAAAGAATGAAAGAAACAACGATAGGGGAAACTTAGTTTTAGTGTCTTGGCGAACCATAAAAACATGATCATGAAATACCGATTATTAAATGTAAGCTTTGATATGCTACTGTTCACAAACTTTCAGGAGCTCTGTCATGATGATTCAGCGGAAGATGAAGACTCCAGGGGCGGAGAGTAGCAACATGATCAGGCAAAATGAGTCCCTAACATGTGAATAAGCTTTTGGCAATTTGCAAATTGTCTAATGTGGCATATCTTTTAGATATTAAGTATAAGATATAGACTGGAAAAAATTACACCAGATGCTGTAAAACATCAGGTGTTCTTCTTTTATACAAGTTCAAGCAACAAGCATTTACTTTCCCTCTTTCTTAGGAATCAGTTTAATATAACATTCTTCAATATGCTACAGCAATCAATGCTGCTATGCTACTAGAACTAATGAACTATTATTAAAATGACAAAAATTACCAGCAGGACTCTAGATGACAATGTATGACATGACTTACATTGTAGATCAGCTATTAAATTTTCCAGAAGAATATCAGTTTGAAAATTTCTAGGCGGCCTAGCAGGCGAGCATGTCGTTGAAGGCTTTCTTTAAGTGTGCCTAAGCTTTAAAGCACGGTGAAGCTTAGGTTGGAAGCTTTGCCTCGCTTAGGTAGCTTTTAGTGCAGATACCAAGGCACTAAGGCATGCTTCTCATCTTCCTTATACTATGTCTTAAGAGGATAGCAGCATACTTGCAAAGTGACATTAATTGTTAACAAAATATCGTGAATAATATTTTTTGATATTTTTCATTGCACTAGTGCCATCATTCAGTAAAGCCCATGCTTCTATTTCTAGTTTGCGCTTAATACCCCAGCAATTCGTGGTGCTTTTCTATGCTTTCACCTTGACAACTCTGCAGGACAGCACAGAAACTTAGTCCATCAACTGCAGCTTTTCTAACATTCTGGCCTTTTAGCAGTAAAACAATAAGTCATCATATCAATTACTTCAGACTTATTCGCTCAACTCATACAGCCAATGCATTAGCGTTGTTGCAGATTTTGAGCATGTTCAAACAAAAATGCCTAACAGAAAACAACTCCAAACAACTTTATCCTCCCATCCACTAATAATAGCGGCGACCAAGCCCACTATTCATACTCCAATAAATACAGCGAAAAGGTCTAACTTAAAACTCCCAGCAACTTATTTTCTTTCAAAAGCACTTGATCTACAATAAGAGTGCTATTCTAGTTGCAACAGTTGTAAAATACACTGTAGCGGTGCGGACACTTCCCTTTTCTTTCAGAAAGTGCTTGAAACTGATGATTCCATCTAATCATTTCTCATGTTCATAGTTAGATTAGTTTTGCACTGGTCATCAACCTACCAACGGAGGCAGATCCAGGATTTGAAGTTATGACTTTGAGATCAAGATTTTACCCGAAGTTATTTGATTTACTAGGTTCGAGATCAATTATTTGTACTTATCTAGAGAATAAGTTGAACCCTACATCCGCCCCTGCCTACCAAGACCTCCTATATGATTCCATCTGATATTTCCTAATGAAAGAGATACTTGTATTACAATTCCTCATCCATTAATCTCCATATATAACAACCAACTCCACCTCAACCCCAAAATTAATTCGGGTCGACTATATCAGTCCTCTATATCTACCGTTAGACTACTTTTGCACTGACCATCAATCTACCGGCATCCTATCTCTTTATTGATAACACAATTTGTTCAATCAACCGCACGCCCATTAGAAATACATCAAGTATGAAAAGAATTAATCTTGATAACAAAATTTGTTCCATCAAATGCAAAACCTATAAAAATACATGGAATATTCAAATGGGTACTGACCAGAACAGCGCGATTTGCAGGAACAGGTACAGGGTGAGGGGTAGACTTGCCATTTTCATCATCATGAGAAGCGACCAAAACGACGTCGGAGAAGAAGGGTACGGTATTAGTGGAAGAAGACCGTTGGTGGTGGAGGTGGTGGAGAGGGTCAGGTGGTGCCCAGAAACGGAGGAAGTTGACTTTGGATTTAAGGTCTTCGATCTCACGCTTCAGCTCTTCCTCTGTCTCGCTTGCTTCCTCGTAACACTCCCTGCACGTGCCCGCGTCACGTGAGCTGTAATCTTCTTTACATGACACGCACTTCATTCGTGCTTCCGATGATGTTTCTTCTTCCTCGTCGTCTTCCTCGTCTTCTCCGAAGTCCACTGACGGCGTCGATGATCGCCGCCGGTGATGCCTTCTCATCTTTTTGTTTCTTTTCCTTTTAGGAATATTCTTTTTTTTCTCTCGCTCTTTTCTCCCAGCTGCTAAACCACCTTTTTAAAAGTTTGCTGTGAGCATGTGACAGACAAAAGTGGAGTAATATTTACAGCTTGTTTGGATATATGTTATGGACCGACAATAGGAAAAATAAATTTGTAATATTACAATAAAAAGTTAGATTATATAAAAAGATATGATGAAGAATAAAATTGAATTATATAATAATATAGAAAGGCAAGATGAGAGAAAAAAATAAGGTAATGACACAATCATACTAAATCGGTCGTTACATAAAGTGACACTTTTTGTCATTACGTAACGACGGATTTAATGATACGATACAATAAAATTTAAGTAAAAATCAAAATAAACATTGTATTTAAAGTAACAATACAATACAATAGGTGACAAACATCCAAACAAGTTGTTAGGGTCTGTTTGGAAAGCCCTGTATAATTACTTTGTTGTGTAATTACTTTATTGTGTAATTATATAATAATGTGATCACAATGATTTGTTTTGTTTATTTGACATGATATAATTACAGTGTAATTACCTGTGTTATATTTGATAGTATAAATATAATTATATAGATAAATAAATATTTTTTCAGATTAATATGTAATTAATTCTCAATGTGTGATAAATATTTTTATGTATAATAAATATTAGATATTATATATTATCATATATTAAAAATGCATATTCTTTCATAATAAAATATATTAAATAATTATAAAGTAATACATAATGTCATAAAAATAATTGATATCATCTATAAATAATATTGTAACTTAAAAGAGAACAATAAACAATTCAATAACAAATTAAAAAGGATAGATATGAGCTAATAAAATATTTTTCTTCATAGTTAATATTTATGCTAATGATTAGAAAAAAAACTTAGTAAAATATGAATTGTTTTTTTAGCAAGTCTTCCTCGTACAAAATTCTCATAACAACGATGTATATGAAATTTTATCTAATTGCTCTAGCATTCCAAATCTGATGAGCTATTCCATCTCTTAGATTGAATATATATTGTTATTTAAATCAGTCGGACCTCGTCCAAGATCTTGAATCAGAATCAATATCATCCAATTATGGGAATCTTCTATTTCCTTTTCCATGTGCTCTTAAAAATATGCATCTTCCTAGTTCCACTTACGAATAAAATTGTGAAGTATACAACATGCTAGCACAATCCACCCTTGTTTTTTGATAGTACATGGAGGAGGAGTCATCAATATAGGGAAATCTTTTTTTTCAATATAGCATATGTCCTCTCCACCATATTACAAAGTTTTGAAAAGTTAAAAAGCTCGCGAGCATTTTGTGGAGCTTGTGTTTGGCTCCATTCTCTCAAATGATATTGTACTGAACGGTAAGGTATTAAAAAGTCCTTTGTATTTGCATAGCCTGCATCAACTATATAATATTTTTCTACAAAGTTACAAGTACAATTTAAATATTTTAAAAAGATAATAAAAAAAGAATAGGTGTATGAGTTATTAGTAAATTAGCAGTTGGAATTTTCAACCTATCTGATCATCTCCCAAACGACATGTCTTAATACTCTAGAATTTGAAGCAGAGCCTTCCCAACCAGCAAACATGTATTGAAAATTTATATCAAAATCTACACAGCAAGGTCATTTTGAGAAAGAACTCCTTTACGATTTCTATATCCTCGTTGATCTTCCATAGAAACAAATGCAGGAATATGAGTTCCACCGATAGCCCCAATACAATCATTTAAAAACTTACAATAGGTCTAGATATCGCACAAATATTTAATAAGTAATATTTATTAATAATACTAAATACGAACCTTGAACCAAGGATATAAAAGTAAATTAGACGATTGATGATAGGCTATAATTGCATATTTTAGTCGCTTTAATAAGTAATATTTATTAATGAGTGTAGAATATAATACTAAATACGAACCTTGAACCAAGGATAGAAAAGTAAATTAGACGATTGATGATAGGCTATAATTGCATATTTTAGTCGCTTCTTACACTCTAATTTACTGCACTTTAATTGAGTTTGAGCTTTAATCGCTAGTGTTTTGCACTAATTGTGTATTTTATGCCTTGTAGGAGTGATTCCGAGCTATGTAGATATTATGGAATGAATTCAAGTGATTTGGAGCTTTGAAGTTTGAGTAAAAGCCCAAGAAATCAAGCCGGGATCGTGTTCGGGGATCAACGGATGATAGTTAAGAACGAAACGGAGAATTGAGCGGGCATACGATACATTGTCTAGTAAAATGCACATAACTTTTCGCTCAGAACTCCGTTTGGGCTCCACAATATATCGTTGGAAAGCTATTTGAAAGGGATACAACTTTCATGTTTTGCATTTTTGCGAATTCCCACTGCCGCGCTACACAGTGCGCCGCAGCGTGCGCCGCGTCTGTGAAATCTGCTAACAGTCTGACAGAAACAACTCTCTGAACTTCCCCACCGCCGCGCCGCACAGTGCGTCGCCCCATGCGGCGCGCCTGTGCAAATTTTACAGATCCAGAGTCCTATTTCGTGCAGGAAAAGGTGTTTCGTCTGGGCCCGACCCTACTTGGTATAAATACATGTAAAACGCTATTTTGAGGGATGGGGGACATACTTTTGACATAATTTAGACCTAAGGAGGCTAAGAGACCGGGGATTCGACCTAGGAGGCAAGAACACACTAGGAGCAAGGCGGAGAATTCTTCTACGAGTTTTTCACTTCCTTCTTCCTATTTTCATTATTGGTTGTTGAATTCTAGTATTGTAGTTATGCATACTATTATGAATAGCTAATTTGTTATCTAGGGTTTTGATGGAACCTATTGGAGGATGATTTTCCTGTTACGTTAATATAGATTTGTTATAGTATATTCTCTATTTGTTCAACTACGTTATTATTGTGGTTGGTTGAAGAGCTCTCAATCGACTGTGCCTATTTAGTGTGTATTACTCGGAAGAGAGTGCATATTTAGGTAGTTGTTAAACACCATCACTCCTAACGTATATGAGGGATCAATACGGAGGGTTTAAAGGTGGGATTAGGGATAACGAAACCTTGGGTGCGATCCGAGTGAGCTGTACTTAGCCAGCTAGCGTAATTTGGGAGAATATATCTAGTAAATTGTTGTAATTACTCGGGAGAGAGTTACGACAGCCAGAGTGCTCATGATCGGTAGAGAAGACTTAGGCAAATTTATAGAAAACGTAGCGGGAAGGATTCCGACAATATGCGAAATCATAACTCTAGACCTCCTTAATCTTGTCTCCAACCAGTGGTGTCTTTAGTGTTAATCTACTAATTTAATTTGTTAGTTAATTAGATACAAGAATCTTAATATTTATAGCATAGAAATTGTTCGAGCTTGTCTTCTTAGCAATATTGAACAACTGTAGCTAAGCCTTAGTTCTCTGTGGGATTCGACTCCAGACTTGTAAACCGGATTATATTTACAACGACCGCTTAGTCCTTTTTATAATGGGCGTGATCAAATTTTGGACGCTGTTGCCGTGGATCAAATATTGGCGCCGTTGCCGGGGAACTAACGGTGTAGTTGTAGCTGTATATATTGCTAGGTTTCAAGTTTGAACTTTTATTTTATTTTGTTTTTATTTATTTCTTGTTATTATAACTGTTGATTTGAGAAACATGACATCTTGGAATTATGGAAATTTAGGTGTAGATAATTCTACTATTGATCCTCATACATATTGTGAAGAAAACCACCCGTATCAAAATTATCAAAATATTTCCGAGAGCGAGTTATGTGCACCAACTCAATCTTATTTGTGGAATGTGTGTGGTGGTAAAAATGGTCACTTTTATGGTTGTGCATATATTTTTTATCTTTCCCCAACCCCTTACTATGGTGGTTCTACCTTTTCTTGTGAAGTTAACAGGAACAAAGAACCTGGGGATGCAGACCTGAAGGAGATCAAGGATATGTTAATGTGCCTTCTGGAACAAAATAATGAAAAATAATTGCAGATAGAAAGGCAAGAGGAAACTATTCGTAACTTGGAGGCTCAAGTGAGTCAAGTGGTTGAAGCTTTTAATGCTCAGCATGCCAATTTTGGGGATAAGAGCCAAGAAGAGCGTGAATTTGAGGTGCTAATTGAGGAGGTCAAAGTAGAACATCAACAACCTAGCCAACTATAATTTGAGGATGTCGATGTTGAAGAAGTGAGACTAGAGTCAGCCAAGGACATTGAGGATATAAATTTTGTTCACTCTAGTATCATTGATGTTGAGGAGGTTGAAAGTCCTGAAGTTCATGTGTTTGTGCGCATTGGGCCTCACTCCAAAAATCTTTCTACACTGTGCTTGGATGACGATATGGAAATAAAGTCATCCGAGCCACTTGAGGAGTCAAGGGATGAGGAACAAAGTGCCTACATTCTGGAATTTTTCTTGCCAGAAAGACAGGACTACATACCTCATCTAAAAGCCAAGAAGTGTAGAATAGTACAATGGTTGCTTGGGCCAATTAGATTTGTTCCTCCACCCTTGGAGCATAGCCGAAAACTTGATGCCAAATTGGGGCTTCAATTCATAAGCTCGAGGTGGAGGCAAAAAGTGATTCGTGTCGTGCCGCGACGTTAAATCAAGCGCTTGTTGGGAGGCAACCCAGCTTTACTGCTTTCTTTTATTTTATGTTTTTCTTTTTTTTAATTGTATTATTTTTGTAGTTTCGATTTTTGATTTTCTAAGAGCATGGAAAGCAAAACTATTGGAAGGATGCAACAGCAAACCAGATGGTTGGAACTAAGTGTGAGGTACCCGCAAGAAGGACCAAGCCTGAGAGAAGTCTGAGTATCCCATGAGCTGCTAGTGCTTCGGCCTTTGGCCTACCAAGGAGTTTCTTTTATCCTCTTATTTAGTTATGGTGTGCATTGGGGACAATGCACAATTTTACGTGTGGGGTGAGGAGATTGTCTGGGTGACTTCCTATGCTATTTTTTTTTTTTTTTGTGTTAGTTTAATTAATTATTTTTTTTCCTTGAGAGATTTAAGTAAAAAAAAAGATTTTCTTTGTAGGTAGTGTAGTAATTCCCCCTTGATTTTTCTTTGTGCCGCGGTT